TTTGAGACAGGGTCTTGCTATGCAGTTCAGGCTGGCTTGAGCTCACTTTGTAGCCTAGGCTGGTTTGGAACTCATAACTACCCTGCTGCCTCAGCCTGCTGAGTGCTGGGATTACAGATGTATGTCACCATGCCCAGCCAACTTATTTATTTATAATAACATCTCCCCCACTAGCTTGCCAGTACTCCAAAAGAATCTATCTTACTTAACATCTTTTTTAATTCTGCATCTTTAATGCCTAAAATAATGCCTGTTACAAGTAAATGTTACCACCCTCTTCAGATTTCAACCCTACCCATCCTTCAAGGCCTCTTTCATCCTATATAACACCCTTCCTAGACCATTCCATTCCAGAATCATTACTATCTCCCTTCAAACATCAGAAGACTTGCTCCTTATGCCACTCTACTGGCAAATATTAATCATGCCTGTTCATATGAAATATAATAACTTTTTATGAGTACTTATTTCCCCAAGGATCAGGACTGCTTTTTACCTTTTCTTACTTTGGGTGTCTCCCCACCGTTTTAAAGCATAAACAGCAGGAACTTAATGAACAGCTGCTATTTGAGTTCTTTGATATTTCAAAATGTTTTACATACCATCTCTTTATATGGTGGAATGAAGTAAAACATATTTCATTTAACAAACTAAGGTTCTTTTCACCAAACTTTTCCTTACAATTCTTGCCAATTCATTCAATAGCTCTGGAACTTGAAGCTTTTGCCTCTCTACTGAGCATCTGTATTTCCTACTTGGCATTTTCCTTCTAAGATAATTTGTTACCATAGTGTTCTTTCTCCCTCTTACACACACACACACACACACACACACACACACACACACTATATTCTCTGTTCCTTTGCTTTCTTTTGGACACATGGTACTGAAGATTTATTTTAGTATGGTTAACAGTTTAATGGGGGTGGAAAGAAAAAGAAAAATCTTTTTTAAGAGTTATCTTTTTACATAGATAAGTCTACAGAATCAAGTTTATACACAAAACTTCAAGAGTTCAAGCTACTCTGAATTATGAAATACAACTAGTAAGAAACACTGAAGTAGCTATATGACCCTAAGATCTATATGGGTCATCTGAAAATATGTAACAAAAGTAACCAATCCTAATCAAGCTAAGATACTGGAAAAGTGTGGCCAAATGATCTCAGATTTAGGAGACAGCTGGCAATGGAACCTAAATGAACGTTAACACTGCCCATTAGAAATACATTCAGCCTAAAACAAAACATAAATACAAGAATTTGGTTCAATCTGAAAGTGTGGTAATTTACAGCTAATAAGACCCAGGCAATAAAGGGAAAATGCTGAATGTAAAAGAAAATTGTCACACTGGAGTTACTAAATGAACATACACACAATTTAAACAATGCTCTCTAAATGATGAAAGTGAATTTTTGTATTACAACTAACAGAATTGGTAATTTCAAAAACAATACAGCTTTGCAAATCTGGGACCTAATCTATATGGAAAAATGTACATTTTATAGTGTCAAAAATATAAGTATTTGAACAATTTAGATCAAGTAATTTTGGGGGGAGGAGAAAAAACAATGCATAGAAATTCATTTTGTGTTTTAGTTACCACACCAATTTTGCTGATGGGCAGTAAAGCAAACATGCCTATATAGCTAGATGTTTTCTCCTAGTTTATTTCCATTTCTCAGTTGCAACTTAGCTAAAGAACAAAAATGCTTAACAGAACATAATTAAAAGGGCTTATACTCTTTTACCTAATTTATGCTATTATCAATTTTATAACACAAGCATTTCACCTGAGCCAGCAACTGCACTAGGCTCAGAACCAAATTTAACTAACCAGGAAACCTAATCACCCATAATCAGTGACATGTAATTGCTACTAATAATGTTAGTCACAAGCTTATCATATTTATACATGAATCAACCACAATATTTGAATCATCCAACCTCACAAGAAGTGAATTTCAGGCATTTAATACTAAAATCAGAAAAATCTGTATCTCTTTAAAGTTGGGTGTGATGTGTACATCTGTAATTCCAGGACTGGGGAAACTGAGGCAGGAAGATTACCATGAGTTAAGAGGTCAGCCTGGGCTACACAGTCAATACAAGGCCAGCCTGAACTACAAAGCAAGACTCTTTGTCTCAAAAAACTTGAATAAATAAAATTAAAACCTATATGACTGCTAGTGATACAGCTCAGTGGCACAGCACCTGCCTGGCAAGTGGAAAGGTCCTGAGTTCAATTCCTGGTACCCCCCTACATCAAAAAAAAACCCTATATGACCAGCGGGAGATTGTGGTACACACCTGTAATTCCTTCCCTTGGGGAAGAAGGGCCTGGGGCAGGACGATTTCAAGTTCAAGGCCAATCTAGACTACATACTGGTAGTGAGAAGTACTGTATAAAAAACAGCTAGGGTTCCAGGTATAGCTCAGTCGTGGAGTGCCTGTAAAGCATGCCTGAGGCCCTGAGTTTGATGCCCAACACTGCCAAAAGAAATTAGGTAAAAAAACAACAATAACAAAAAACAAAACAGAACTGTAACCATAAAATAGATGCCTTCTCACTAGTATACAGAACATAAAGTTTAGAAACAATAAAGAAAACTTTCAGGGAGTAAAAGACTATTTGTATTTAATACCAACGATTATTTTCATTATATGACTATGAAATGGTGCAAAACTAGCACATACTGGACTTAATAAATCTGCATTTTAACAAGTTCAACTTAAACTGAGTAAGTGCAGTGGTCATTAGTTTTCAGAAACATCACCAAAGGTAATATTATGGTACAAAAATTGAATGTAAAAGGAAAAAAAGAAGCCTGGAAATGAAATTTAAAAGTGGAATTTTGGGTCTGTAGGAAAGGCAGACTTCCAAGTAGTGCAGAAGAAGCTAGAGAAGGGCTGGGGATTTAGCTTAGAGGCACAGCGCCTGCCTGACAAGTGCGAGGTCGTGAGTTCGATTCCCGGTACCGGGAAAAAAAAAAAAAAAACCAAGGGGGGGAAAAAAAGACAGAAGTTAGAGACAAGACTCTAGTACAAACTAATCTGTTACACACTGTCTCTAAATATGTGCTATCAGAAATTCTAACTGGCGGGGGCTGGGGATTTAGCTCAGCGGCACAGCGCCTGCCTGGCAAGCGCCAGGTCGTGAGTTCAATTCCCAGTACCGGAAAAAAAAAAAAAAAAAAAAAAAAAAAAAAGGAATTCTAATTGGCTAATAAATTCCATAACGAAACGGAAGTTGTCTCCATGAAGAGACTACAACACACTCATATATTTTACTGATAAACTAAACATATTGATTGATAAGTATATTTTAGTTATAATTTTCTATACTAATAAGCTCCTTTGCCATTCACCTAAATCAAATGGCTTTTATCCCATAGCAATAAACTACGACTGTTTACTGGACTCGCATCTCACCCCTAAGGAATCTGCCTTATGCCTGGAATTTCATTTTTACTGCATTAAAATAGTGCAGGAAAAACATTACCACATATATGACAAGGAACAATAAGATTCATAAGCACAAGGATAGCATAAGTTCATTGTTCAAGAATGTGACTGGTTACCTAACTGATGAAAAGTGTCCATGGAAATATATTCACACGCAAAAAAACAAGTATAAAATGATGAGGCAGCCCATGTCCCCTGTTCCCAATCCATAAAACTCCAAGATTTCTTGACAGGATGAATGCCTGAACTTTTTCCTTTTTTTTTTTTTTTCTTTTTAAAGATTTCTCAGAACAAGTTGTCCACAACACTCTATTCAGCTCATTCCAATACTTGGTCCAACGGAATACACTAAATCAGCTTTTAAGATCCATACAAATAAGCCTACATACAAATTAGTGTCTATTTTTTGAGACTCAGACTCAAATTTTTAACTCGAAAAAGAAAAACACAATAAAGAAAGAGGTCTTCTTGTTTTTAAATCTTTTAATGGAATCACAGGCTCATATCTTAAAACTGGGTTAAGTGCTCACATACTGTGCCAGTATATTTGTGAAGCGGAATGAAGAGTAATAGTAACAAATAAAAAGAATATCTAAAAAAAAAAAAGTAAAAAGAATTCTACAACGATTTTAACTTATTGACCAAGATACATGGTAAAGAAAATTTTCAAAGTGTTTTTAATCAAGTTGATGAGTGCTCTCAAGGAAGTAAGAACATCATACAACTCCCAATTAGCCCTCAATTTCTCTATTTTAAATAAATCTGTTGATGTGCTGTGGATACACATCCATAAATTCTGCCCTGGCTCCGAAACATTTAACTTTTTCTTTTACAGAGCGTGTGGGAGTGTGTTTACATGGGAAGAGTAACCTCTTTGACGAAAGGGCCGATGGTTTTCTAATATTTCTTCCCATCTGCGAGTCTTTGTTATTCCCTCTTATACTCCTTTCTGCCTACTCTGCACGTACAGCTAGGCCCCCAAATCCTGCCCCGACCCTTTGTCCAATCCCATATGGCGCCCCCGTTTCCGTGCCGGGTGGCACCTGCGGGCCGGGCACGAACCCCTGCGGCTGGCGCAGGGCAGGCGCGGACGGGGCGGACGGCTGTCACCGGGGAGCGGGCGTGGGCCCGAGGCGAGGTGATTTCGACCGCTCCCCGCGCCGCCCCGCGTGGCTGAAGATCTCCGAGCCCCTGGGTCAGCGCCGGCCAGCCGGGAGCGCAGCTGTCGCGGGAAAGGCAGCTAATCGCCGCCCGAAGCCGCTCCGACAGGCCGGGCAGAAGGAGAAGGGGCTCACGGCGCGGCCCCAAGCCCCGGGCTAGGAAACCCCGGGAGCAAACCCCCGCCCGGGCGCAGGGGGACCGCGGAGCCACCGACTGGGCCCAGCCCAACAGGGGCCCGCCCAGGGGCCACTCCCCAAGGGAGGCAGCCAGTCACTCGCCTGCCCTGTCGGGCCCGCTCCCGAGGGGACGGGCTCCCGCCCGCCCTCAAACGCGGCTCCTCACGCCAGGCCCCCAGGGCTTCGGCCACCTCTCACCTTTGACGACGCGGTCAGCCCCAGGAGGGGGCGGCGGGGGTGGGGGCGGGGGCGGTGCAGCCCGGGCCGGCTCCGGGGCGGCCATGCTGGACCCGGGGCTCGGCTAGGCGCTGGGCCGGGCGGGGTTGGGGGCGGGGGCGGCGGCTACCAGAGCCAAGCGGCGGCGCCGCCGGGGAACATGGCGGACCCTTTCCCTTCAGAGGGGCTAAGACCGGCATGCATCGCGCGCGTGGGGGCGGAGGCGGGACAGGCTCTAGGGACTGGGGCAAAATTACTGAGGGTAGGAGAGAAGCGGCGCGAAGCCAAGGGATCAGGTTAAAATTCTTTGCATACAGAAACGAAAGTGAGTAAAGGGGGCGGTCGGTAGTAAAGGGGGCGGTGGTAGTAAATGAGTGTAGGAAGGCCATAGGCTCCTTGTAAAATGGAGACACCTGATCAAACCTCAGAACCTCCTACTAATAAATGTGTGACAGCTATCGGATTTGATTACTGAAGAAGTACAAGGGAATAGAGGAGGCACTGTAGATTCTACAGCATTGATACATGACCATTCAAAAGAGAGTTTGAAATGGAATTCAGGCCCCTGTGTTTGGAGCTTAGCGTTGTCAAGAGTTTGAAGGCACAGAATAATACGGCTGAAGCAGTCTAGGGTTCAAGGGTTAAGAATCAAAATTGGTACGGAGAAGTGAGGGAATGACACCAATAAATACTCAATCTGCAGAATTCTCCTGAGAAGGACATGGCCTCCCTTTTGATTCACTGAGAAAACAGATTTGGAAGGCAGAGAGCCAAAAAGGGAATTGGAAATTAGTTCCTTGTTTCTGCACATACAGAACTCAGAACCAGGTGACCTACAGAAGTTTTGTACAGACAAAAGTAACTGACATTCGAGGGAAGGGGATGGAGGAAAAAGAGCTGACTTGCTCCATCAATAATTATTAGACGTGCCTGGCAAACACAAGGTCCTGAGTTTGATTCCCGGTACCAAACAAGTTAATAATAATTATTAGACATGTATGTGCTTGAATCGAGGACAGGGACCAGAATATACTGTATTTTGATGGCGTAGAATACAAGGGGGATGGAGTGTGAAACTCCCTCAACATCTTCCCACTCAATAAAACGTGCTGACATTGTGCTCATAATGGTGATGGTTAGGTAAGCAATAATAGAACAAAGGTCTCAGAATCCTGTTTCTTTGTGTCAATCTCAATGATCCTGAGACCTGGAGTAAAAAAAAAAAAAGGAAAGCTCCATGGGCATTTTTTTGCAAAAGTAAGCTCACAAAATATCTTTTAAAGAGAAGAGACTCAGGAGCAAAGAAGGGGTGAAAATGGATCTTTCTGGTATGAAAGTGGCCTAAATCCCCAGGGGAAGGGGCCATGGGAGCAGAGAAAGGAAGGAACCGAGGCACATCACAAACATGTAAGGTAGAGGAAGGTACCAGAAGTTCCTGGACCAGCAGTGCATTTGTAGTAGGACTTTGAATACCCAGAAAATCTCCCGCAGGAATGGAGGGAGTTGGTATGTAATGTATTGGAATACTCTGGCAGGAAGGGGATAGGAAACATGCTAGCAACAGTAACAACAAAGAAAGGCACTCTCTTTAAGGGCTCATTGACTACTACCTTGATTGTATATCCTTTAACTCCTGTATTGCTTTTCATTTTCACTGAGGCAAGAGATTATCAAATTATCTACCCATTTCCAGGCCTCCCCACCCCAATACATAAGAGCAAGAACATACAAAAGGGAAAAATGACAACAATTTCATTAAATAGAACTATCTTATAGATTTATTAATGAAAATACTTTACAAAAAACAGTATGTTTGGCCCTAAAATAGATCAGCTGACTGAGGGTTTACAATGGCGACTGAGCAAGTGGCAGTAATGGCTCTGCTGCTGAGGAAAAAGGGTTTGTTAGTGTTCCTGACTCCATCTCTTCAGAATGGTGAATACTATGTTGGCACCTCCGCACGCCAGGTTTGGGGCATGGGAAGGATTGACAGGCCATACATAATACCCCAGCAGGTGAGCTTCCCTGAATGACATGGTCAGGACCCTCCAAGGATGGGAGATGGGGAAGATAGAGAGTCAAGTAATAGGAACAGGTGACAAAACAGTAGAATTTGCGAATGTAGTAGGAACCAGACGATGAGGTTCAGGTGGAGGTGGGGGCAGAACAGTATCTGAGAATAAAATGATGACATTATGACACTAAGGAATGGCTAGTGTCCAGAGGAATACGATAGATTCAACTTTAAAGTGGCTCACATAAGCCCTAAATAGCAGCTGCTTCCTTTTGCTAGGGGAATCTAAGTTGCAATTTAAAATATTTCCTCCCAAAGAGCCAGGTCTCTTTCAACATTCCTGGAACTCCTAGGAGAAACTGCCAGTTCTCACAACCATGACAGGGATGCAGGGTACCAACTTTGCCACAGTAGTTTTATAGAAAAAGAATAGCACAGCAAAGGGGTGAGCCCTACCACCTGCTGTGCTGCAGGACTCTGGCCTTGTTCTGCTCTTTTCCAGGGGCATCTGCTAGAACAAACAGAAACCTCTCTCTCCTGTCCTTCTGAGTCCAGATTGGGGTGCGTAACTGCTTTGCCTCCAGTCGTCATCTGGGGGAATATCTACTCTTCGAGGACCAGGTGTTCGTGACACTGGAACAGAGGCCGAATTGCAAGCTGACCTCAGGGGTAAATGAAGACTGCTGGATGGTGGGGACACAGGGTGAACAGTAGAAGGGCGGGAGGGTGAATGGAAAAGATCTCCCCAGGACCGAGCATGAGGAACCTGGAAGCCCTGGCTTCTCTCTGGTAGTGTGGCAGTGTGGGTTAGCTGAGGCTTGCACCCTGGGATACTTAGGAGTCTGGCCCTAATGTGCTGGTTGGTCTCTGACCAAGGTCCCAAGGAAGCATCAGTTCTGGAACGATGGGGGAGACTCCGATAGGTCAAAGACCTTCCTGTGTACTTGACGCCTTGGGAAGTTTCACTCCTGTCACACATAGCCAGAAACTGCTGGACATTCCTCGAAGTTCCTGAGGAAAGAAAAGAAGTCCAGAGACTGAGTATCTTCATAAAATAATTCTCTTTCCCTGTGGATCATTCCTAGCCATCCTGCCCAACTCTTTACTCCTGCAAAAGCATAGACACAAGGGAAACACATATCTACATTTGCTTTTGATTTTACTTTTTAAAATTCTTATACACATCAAAAGAAAGTCTCTTACCTCCAACTTGGGCAAATGACAGTTTCCTAAATGTTGTCATACCTACCTTGCTCCACTGTAATTACACACACACACACACACACACACACACACACACACACGCACAAATAGCCTTCAATATAGCAGATGTACTGCCCTACCAATGACTAATTCTTGAGCAACTACTCTAAAGTTGCACTTAGCTTTTCTTAACACAGTGGTACCTTTAGTAAGGCTGCCTGTGCTTACATTCCTGCTCAATCTCTGAGATCTCTGCTTTCGTTCACACCACTCTTCCTACATACACGGTGTAGAATGCCTTTTCTATACATTTATTCAATACTGGCACTATTGACATCATTGGCTAATCTTTGTTGGAGATGAAGAGAGACTGCTCTGTGTATCGTATGATTTTTAGCAACAGCCCAGGCCTCTAACCATACTACCTTAACCAGAGACCCAGGCCACAAGGAGGAAGAGAAGAATGCCTTATTGTAGAGGGTCAGTGAAAGCCAGAATGATGTTGTCCGCCTCTGCCAGGATCATCTGGGTTTATTCACATGGCATGGGTACTCCAGGTACAGGGTCTTTCCAGGGTCCCCTTCACTCCCTATCCCCATACCCCCTCAGCAGAGACTCCATGAATAGGAGAGAAACTAGTAATAGAGATGACATTTCTGCTTTGGGGGAATCCCAAACCCTAGGTATTAACTCCCCTTGGTCACTTAAAAGGTTATTATATCATGACTAAAATAGTACATTCTTATGAGGAACCAAATTCTAAGAGTGCCAGGTTAGAATCTTATCCCTTTTTTTTTTTTAAAGTATTTTGAGACAGGGTCTTGCTATGTAGCTCAGACTGGCCTTAAACTCACTATATATCCTAGGCTGGCCTTGAATTCACAGCAGTCCTCCTACCTTAGCCTCCCCAAGTGCTGGGATTACAGGCATGCACCACCATGTGTGATGCCAGTTTAGACTGTGATAAAAAAAAGAAAAAACCATGGTGCCTAAGAGATGATTCAGTCACAATTCACAGAGATCAATGCTCAATCTTAAAACAGTAATTTATACCCTTACACACCACTCCACCTCAAGATACCCCAACCCCCTGTACTAACTGGACCCTTAGTCCCCTGGAAACACACTGTAACATGTAATATTACACTGAGGGGAGTTACCTTGGGATCTATAAGGCTCCCCTGCCATGCTGGGCATCAGGACATCTGGGGACAGGAACTGTGGTTGGGGAAAGCAGAGTTGGGAATCAAGGAGAAACACAGGAGGATCATGGATGACAGGGAGGGAACAGGAACTGGAACAACGGTTCCCGGTTGGCAAGCGCTTTGTCCTTAGGTTTGATCCATCATTGTAAAAAAACAAAAAAAAAAAAAAAAAAAAAAAAACACAAAAATGAGGATTAACACACAGCAGGATGTGGTTGGGTAAACACAGTGAGGCAAGCAGTGAAATGGAGGGAACTAAAGTACAAACATGCCTTGTTCTAAAGAGGGACCCTATTTACCCTCCCAGTCAGCCCTTCTAAGAAATTCAAACGTCAGATCCACTTCCCTGCACCGGTTTTCATCACATACCTCACCTTCTTAAACCTATCATTCAGGTCTTTAGCAAACTTTTTAATGTTAACAGTAGAATCAGGAAGATTGAAATAGAAATTGGAGAGAGAGAGACAGAGAGATGAATTAAGAAAGGCTGAGAAAATGAGAAAAAGTTCTATATTTGCTGAAAGTATTTGGAACTAAAATATACCTGCTGAAATGTAGAACTTACTCCATCTGCTAACCTGACACTGCTACATTTAAGGAGTTTTCCTCTGCCTACCAAGTTTGCATTCATAAATGCTTGTGTTGTGTGCTCTTATACCTTATTAGTTATTGACTTGTGGTTAAAAAAAAAAAAAAAACAAGAAATGTCCCTGTTAACATCTGAAATATTAATACACCCCAAATTAAATGGATATTCTTCCAAACTCACCCCCTAGTACCACGTTCTAAGTCCCTCAATCTGAACAATGGCATTGCCCTTGACTTCCAACTTCCCATTCACAATTCCATTATGTCAAGTACTCTCATTTCTACCTGTGGATTTCATATTTAAGTTCAGTGACACCAAAGCAACAGACTTCAATATGACCTTCCTATCTCATATCCATTACCTGATTACTGTGACCTAGGAAGCCCTATGTGATAAGGCACTATTAATCTTTCTCACTTTCACTCCAACCATTCCTGTGTCTTTTACACTTTTAATGTTCATCAAACACATCAACTCACTCCTACCTCAGAGCCTGAACATTTATTTTTACTATTACCAGGAATGTTTTCTCATGGCTCAAACCTGCATATCAGTGAAGTCAGATGAAATGTTACTTCTTAGAGCTGATGTCCCTCACTATTTTATCAAAAATAGCCCCAGGAAAGCAACTGTTACTTTTTCTTTTGATAGGAGTGGTGATTGAATACAGGTTTTTACACATGCTAGGCAAGCATTCTGCCACTGAGCTGTATCCCAGCCCCCACGATGCCTATCAGTCCTTATCCTTTGACTTATTTTATTCATCTTTAACACACTTATGACTGTGTAATGTTAAATCATTTGTTTATCATCTTTCTCTCCTAGCAGAACACCTTTCTTTTCACTGTAGGATCCCTAGCACCTTGAGCAGCACCTGAAACAATGCTAGGATATGGTAAATAATACATTAAAACAATTTATATGCCAATATATTTAATTTCCGTTAATTGATTACAAGCTATTCAAAGGCAGAATCTGTGTTATTTCATCAGTGTATGCTCATAACACCTATAGGGAAGAATGCTTCAGGAAGAAAGGAATTCCTAAGGGAATACCATACACCTTCATGTTTTCTCCTCAAGCTGTCTCTTTTTTGCAGTCCCTTTTTAGGGTTCTTCAAGGATATGTCTTGGCATTTCTTCGCTCTTTGCAATTCCCTTTTTTTCTTTTCAGTTAAGTGGATTTCCAAATTTCAATTTCTAAGTCATGTGTCTCATATGCAAAGGCCTACCAGCTTTCTCCTCTCAGGCATAATATATCCAAAATTGAACATGTATCTTCCTTTAAGTGTATCATTAACAACCTAAAAAAACTTGCATATCCTCCTTCATTCTTCTCCCCCAAACCCCAGCAGGCAGGCATCATGAAGTGTCATTTATGTTTATTTCCTAATTGGCTCTCCAATGTTTGTTTCTCTCTATCCTTCCAAACTCCTTGTTGTAACATATAGGCCTCTCCGTGGTTCATGCTTTGACTGGTATTTATAGTCTTTCCATCTCACTTGTCAAGACTCTCCATCATCTCCCCTCACCAGACTCTATAATCTTGCCATATGAAATGAACCTCTTTGAAGTCAGTTAATATTTGCTTAAGGACCCTTTGTCTGCTATATTCTTTTTTCTTTCTCTAAGAAGGCTTCACCAGTACCTTAAGCCTAGGATAGATACCACTTCTATTATGTCCCCATAGCAACAAATCCTTATCAAATTATAAAACTGTTTATTTATCTGTCCCCCATAATAGACTCTAAGCTCCATAAAAGCAGGGACTATATCTAACTCACCATAGTATTCCCAGCACCTGGCACAATACCAAGAACATAAGCTCAATAAGCATTTGTTTAAAAGAATGAATCAATGAATAAATGAATTCTAAAGAAGTCAGAAAGAAGCCAACTCTCTTAGGAATATCACATTTTACTTTAAATGCATTCAGTGTGTGTGAGAACAAATGCTGGGCAGAAAAGACTACCTGTCCCAAACAGAATGGCAGGCTGTTGAATTATTTAGGAACTTATGGAAAATAAATTGGGGGGCAGAGGACTAACTCTTGAGAGGGAAAGTGGATCTGAAGAGATGGTAATACAGAAGCCATGGTTTCCACTATGCTTCCGCACCTTTTTGTCTCTCTGGTACTAGGGATTGAATTTGAGGCCTTTACACTAAGCTACATCTTCAAGTCTTTTTAGTATTTTTACTTTGAGACGGAGTCTCACTGAATTGCCCAGGCAGGTCTTAAACTTGGTGATCTTCCTGCCTTAACCACCCAGAGTGCTGGGACTATAGGTGTGTGCCACCATGCCCACTTTTTAATTTTTGTACCATGTACTGTATTTAAAACCTTTTTAAGCCAGGCAAGGTGATGCACACCTGTAATCCCAGCACTTGAGAGGCTGAGGCAGGAGGAAAATTGCAAGTTCGAGGCCAGCATGGGCTACAAAGTGAGCTCAAGGCCAGCCTGAACTCCATAGCAAGACCTTGTCTCAAAAGACAAAAACAAAACAAAATAAAACAAAAAAAACAACAAACAACAACAATAAAAAACACCTTTTTAAAAGGGGCTGTAGTTCAGTGATAGAGCACTTGCCAAGTATGCATGAGTTCCTAGGTACAATAAAAAATAAATAAAACCTGTCTTTTAGCTGGGCATAGGGGTGCACACCTGTAATCCCAGCACTCAGGAGACTGAAGGAGGAGGATAGTTGTGAGTTCGAGACCAGCCTGGACTACAAAGTGAGCTCGAGGTTAGCCTGAACTGCATAGTGAGACTGTCTCAAAAAGGGCCGGGGATATAGCTCAGTAGCACAAGCATCTGCCTGACAAGTGCAAGGGCCTGAGTTCAATTCCTGTTACCAAAAGAAAAAAACCACCTGTTTTTATATTTTTATTGAACTATCTTAGTAGACAAGCTTCAGTGCACGGGTACTTTGCATCCTGCCCTCTATTGTAATGAAAACTCAACTTATCTTGGGCAAATGTGTAAAATTCTCAAAGGACAGATAACCTGCAAACTCATGGTGATCTTCCTGGCCCCACCTCCTAAATGCTGGGATTAGGTATGCACCACTAGGACATTTTGTTTTTTTAAAACATACTGGGGATTAAATCTAGGACCTTCACACCGAGATACATCCCTTCAATTTTATTTTGAGACAGGATCTAAATTGCCCAGGCTGGGTTTGAACTTGTGATGTGATCTTCCTGCCTCAGCCTCTCAGTGTTGGGATTATAGGTATGCATCATCATGCCCCACTCTATTTCTTTCCTTCTTCCTTTGATGAATATCATGGGTTCTAACTCTATCAAGAGCTTTGCGTCTCAGATTTCTCTCAAGGTTCCCATAACTTTTCTCACCCTAGGGAACCCTATATTATATTCTTTCAGAATTGCTCTAGGAAAGGGACATTTCTCCAGGGTCTAATAGAGTGTATGTAAATAAAATAATGATCGCATGTCTTAATTTTGGTGAATTTACATGGCTTTTCCTTAGTTGCAATTTTTAGCTTCTCCATACTCCTTCACCTGCACTATATTTTCACCTAGCAGAGAGGATGCTCTGAATAGAGGGACTCTAATGCTACTTACAAAACTGTGGGAAGACATTGGCGCCTCCTCCCCCTCTGAGACAATGGTGCCACTGAGACTGCATGAGATGCGGCGAAAGTTCTCTGCACTGTACTGTTCATCCTCCCCATATTCCCTGCTGAGGCCTCGGCACACTGCAGCCTTCAAACACACAGACACACATAGGCACATTAGACCTTTGGTTTTCCCACAGACCTGTCCTGAGGGATATGGAATAAAATAAGGTAAGACTCTCTAGTAAACACATGAACCAGATATATTTAAAAGGTAGTAGCCATGTGGCAGTCTCCTTTACCTCAGAAGAAGCCCTATTTCAGTCCTTGTTCTCTTCTGATAGTCCCCCATTACCATGCCTCTGCCTTACCACCAACCCTACCATATATTTTTTGGGCACACTTCCTTCCCTGACACACCACAGGTCTAGTACCTTTGCACTTGAGGCTGCTACCTGTGACACAGGCACTGTGCTGACTTCATGGAGAATGTGCTCCATTTCTGTTGTTGGGGTCTTTGAGAGATCAAGACTAGGGGCTGAGTGCAGTCTCCTCCCTGTGCAATCTGCCAAGCCTGAGGAGGAAAATATAAATATAAATTGAAGCTTAAGAAAGGAAGGGAAAAGTTAAAAAAATAAAATAAAATAAAATGAAAAAAATAGAAATAAAGCTTTTGTAACTAAGGAGGGGGAGGGGTTGGAGGGAGGATAGAGGAATAGGGGGAAAAAAGGAATGAAGTCACAGCATGAACAGTACAAATTCCCTATGATGAATGTGATTATGTATACCTAAAATGTATCAATAAAAATTACTTTCTTTGAAAAAAAAAGAAGTCATTACTCTCCTGGGCCTAAACTCCGAGACTGGAAGCACAAACTCAGGAGCTCTTGTTTCCGTGAGTAACAAATACGTATCCCTGAATCTAATGGCAATATTCTCTTGGAACTCAGAAAGGTGTAATTTCCAGAATGTGAACAGACTGCTGTGGATCAGAAGGGTGACAGTCACAGCCCTTGAAGAACTTTGTAGAAGAGCAGCCCTGTGAATAGGCAGCTGAATGTCCTCGTCTAATCTCATTTCTTTTTTGTAAACATAATCAGTTTCTGTCAAAGTTGGGTCTAAGATTTGCAATACTATTGTGATGAAATTATCTGACATAGTGACTTTCCAGCGTATCTGTGGTGACAAAGGAAACTATTATCTCCAATCTAGCTCAGAATTGAAAAGATCTTAGTAATCACCTATCAGGCTTCCTCATATAACAGGAAAATGAGTTCGAGAGTCTGATAGGTAGTTAGTAGCTAAAGTAGGATTAAAGTTCAAGCCTCTCAATTTTAGCACAGTTGTCTTTATCGTCTTACCTGGGCCCTCCTATCACTGAGCAGGAGCTCTTCAGAAATATCTTTAGGCTTGTGAAAGTTCTTTTATCCCCCACAGCCCCAGCTTCTCTCTAGCACTTAAATTCTAAACAACCACTACTGCTGCTCTAAACTGGATTATGGGACTCCCAAGGAGTTGTTCTCAATCCAACTAATTAAGCCTTTCACTCTGAAAATGTTAACGCCCTTGACCTATATTTGATACTTACGTCTACGGCTAATTTGTATCTTGATTTATTGAAACTAGTATCTGATGTATGATATTGCTGATACAAATATTAAAAATCAGTTACTTTTAATATTTTCTGGTTTTTAAATACAGTGGCTGTCATACCACCTCTGATTTATCTAGGAACTTTTAAAAATACAGCTGCCTAGAGCTGGGGGGTGTAGCACAATGGTAAAGTGTTTGCCTGGCACGCACAAGGCCCTGAGTTCAATCCAAAGCACCTTTATGTTAATTAATTAATTAAAATTATATCTTCCTTCCCTACAAATCTGAATCAGAATTTCTGTGGAGCCAAAAAACCTTTTTCTTTTCTCTCTTATTTATTTATTTATTTATTTATTTATTTATGATTAATAGGGATTGCACCCAGGACTTTTGCACTGAGCTACATCCACAGCACCCCCTCCCTTTTTTTTAAAACAGGATCTCACTAAGTTGCCCATGCTGGGTTCAGACTTGCAATTCTGCTGCCTCAGCCTCCTAGAGTGTTGGGATTATAGACATCTACCACCATGCCTAGCAGAATATTTATTTTTTTAAAAAGTGAAAAAATATCTTTGAATATTATTGAAAGAAATGCTATCATATTCCTAAAAAGCAACAGAGAATTTCTGGCTTTTTTTTTTTTTACTCTAAAGAGAAAAGAACAAATACAAAATAACAAAAATAAAACAACACAAAAACTATAAAAACGATACAGAATTTCAAAGTAAGAGGATAGGAAATCAACAATGGTTGTTGTATTGATAAACTGAGACAGCATTTGCATTTATTATTATTTTTTAATTTGGGAGGTGCCAGGAATCGAACTCAGGACCTCACACTTGCCAGGCAGGCTCTGTGCCACTGAGCTAAATCTCCGGCTAGGAATTTCTATTAAAATGGAAGAAAATATACTCTCTTGCTCAACAATTCTACTCCTGGGAATAAGAAAAAAATGCCAGTTTGTAACAACATTTCTATAAGAATGTTTTCTTCTGGCATTATTTACAGTAAGGAAAAACTAAAAATAAAGTAATATCTGTGTAGAGAAGAATGTCAACATTAGGGTGTACTCAACATCAAATATTGCCCATCCACTAAATAAATGAAGAGTCAAACTATATTACTTGGATGATATACATCAGATACTGTTGAATTAAAAGAAAATATTGTCCTACGATCCCTGAGCAAAAACACTCCATGTGCAGATCTACACAGGAATATATGGATAGAAAAATATAGATGTATGTGTACTATCTAGGTATACTGTATGCATACTATACTGTTACCTAGGGAAGTAGAAGTTAAAAGGTAAGGGCTACTATAAGTAAAAGAGAAATAGACAAGTAAACAGTCTACTAAAAACAGCATGTATGTTATTATCCCATCAGTGGTAGAGCATTTGCCTAGCATAGGTGAAGCCCTAGGTTCAATCTTATACAATAAGTAAGTAAGTAAGCTAGTAAAACAAACAAACAAATAAAAACAAATCTGACTGTGATGGGTTGTGGGTGTAGTTCAGTAGTAGAGTGCTTACAGAGCAAGGCCCTGGGTTTGATCAATAACACAGGAAAAAAAAAATAGGTGGATTAACAATTTTTAAAAAATCAATTGAAGCTAGGCACAGGTAGCACACACCTATAATCTCAGCTACTCCAGAGGCTAAAGCAGAATGATCACAACTTCAAAGACAGTCCCATGGACATAGCAATACTGTTTCAAAGTTTAAAAATAAGGGTTCAATCCCTAGTACCACAGAATGAATGAATGAATGAATGAATGAATGAATGAATGAATGAATGAGGCTGGGGATGTACCTCAGTGCAAAAGCCCTGAGTTCAGCTGGGTATGATGGCACATACTTATAATCCTAGTACTATGTGAAGCTGAGGCACGAGGATCGCAAGTTCAAGCCCAGTTTGGGCAACTTAGAGTCTTATTGATACTGTCTCAAAAAAAGCCTGGGATAGAACGTAGCTCAGTGCAAGGTATTAGGTTCAATTTCCAGTACCTCAAAATAAAACAACACCACCAGCACTCAGTAGGCTGAGGCGGGAGGATCACCATGAGTTTGAGGTCAGTTGGGGCTATATAATGAGTTCAAACCCAGCCTGAACTACATAGTGAAACCCTGTCTTAACAACAAAAAACTACCTATAATGAAAAATGTTATTTTGGACATTATAAGGGATTTTTGTCTGTATTTATTTATTTACTTAATCTCATTTTTGAGAGAAGGTCTCGCCATGTAGTGCAGGCTGGCCTCGAACTCATAGCAATCCTCCTGCCTCAGCCTCCCAAGTGCTGGCATTACAGGTGTGCACCCCCATGCCCAGCTTGTCTTTAAATATACTGTTAAAAATAAATAAATAAATATACTGTTTAACCATCAATTATTAGTTTGGATTTCCAATGTATTATTTTATATGCTTATTATATTTCTTATAACATTTAATATTTGTGAATTCTTTCTCCCTTATATTAAACAGAAAGCTCACCAAGGCAGGCTCCAGAGTTTTCTCTCTCTATAATTTTCACATATTGCTCTGTCCCATGTACCTACAGTGCACTGAGTAAATGTTATTACAAAATTTAACCTAGGATGCAGATCTGCAGAAACATGTCTCAATATCATAATATTAAGAAAAATATAATACTGTAGTATTTTTGAAAAGATCATAATGTTTTTTATAGCTGTGGTTGCCCCACAAAGCTCCAGAGGATATAGTGTTCACTCTAAACACTTGTTTGACTATAATTAAACATAAATTGTCAACATGCAAGGGACCTGTACTGTTATAAAAACTGTCACACCCAAGCTAAAGTTCTCTGAGTTCAATTTTACAGAATCATACATATCGTTTTAGAGTTCAAATGATTGAAAAAAAAAAAAAAACAACATTGGACCAATTCTCTCATTTTAAAGAGAAAAACTTGACCCTGGTATGTAAGTGTCTTGTCCAAATTTACCCTGAGAGGTAATGTCAGAATCAGGGAGTTAGGTACATCAATGTAAGTGACAAACCCTCTTCGTATATTCAAGTTCCAGAACTAAATCTGTGATGTGCATTCGGGGTGTAGGTTTCAGCCTCCCTCTCCCACTATCTCAAGGAAATGAGTAATGGCTACCCTATAGGCATACTATCTTGAAAATTCTATGAAGACTAAAATGGCATTTCCTGAAGGGATCAGGGAAGATCTTTACATGGCTGGTTCAGTATGATCTAGGAATGTCACACTGGAGACCTGGCTCAGTATGAACATCTCTGATGCAAGAGAGACCTGTAGGCTAAGCCTTGAGACTAGTTCAGCATCTAAATCACCGAAGGATGACTTTTCCTCTTAGTCTCCCCCATCTCATGCTAGTCACCCTCAGAGACTTACAAACAATTCCTTAGTACTGCACACTGGGGGAACCATGGGCAAATACTTAGTGGTCTCTTTCTTAAGGAAAAAGGAATGGACCTGTGAGTGTTAATTCTGCCCCCATTCTCCACTTTAACCCATACAATGTCTAACTCTTGTTCTGTAACCTATGTGAGTAAAGTCAGAAGTTCCGCTCGCCCTTACCAAGCTGGGGATGCTATCAAACAGCATACCACCCCTCCTTTTATCTTCTCCTCCTGCTTTTACGTTCTATATGTCCCTCACTCTGCCCAACCCTGGTTGCATGCTTACCTGTCTGGCTAAGTGGATGCCACGCCACATCTCTCTGCCCCCATCCAGGACAGACAGCTTGAGAAGCCTGAAGACTGGCCTGGTAGAGGGACTCTAATTCGGAGGTCTCCTGCTCTGTATCTTGGTTCCAATATGGATGCAAAAGGATATGATTTCTCTCTGGATAGGTGACGCAGGTGTGGGAATCATGGGGAGAGGACTTCACTCCTGGCCCAGACACCCCATGTTTAAGTTGAGAATCACAGAGCCTCGTGACATTCACCCAGGAATCCAAAGGCAAGGAAGTCCCCAAGTTGATACTGCCACCTAGCTCCTTAGGCCTAGCATCTCTTAACTGAGACCGCTTTCCTTGATATACACCTGGTTCTGCCAACCTGGACTCTCCTCCCCTGGAAGTTAAACCATTCGGCAACCCAGAGTCCATGGCAAGAGGAGCATGGTCAGCGGGCTCTTGCCAGGAAGACAGCCTGTCCCTGCCATCCAGGCATGGTTGCTGTTTTGCCCAAGGACAGTGGCCTTTTCCTTGACCCTGTGGGAAAGAAGGCTTAGAGTCAGAAGGGGAACAGTTCTTCCCTATACTGTTTGGCAAGCTCCTATCCTGGGAACTAGTAGCATCCCTCATGGAGACACTCTGCATCCTCTGTAACTGTTCTGCCAGGGAGTAAACAAGTCCTTTTGTGCTGGGAAATTCTGGCCTGTAGAGTTCCTCACTGCCTCTGTCCACTTTTGAAGTCAATGAATTTTGAAGGCTTTGGGCTTGGAGGCATTGGTTAGTTTTCTCCGCAAGATCAGGAGAGTGAAGCACAGATGAAGAAGCAGCAGGCATTATGGGGTGGCAAACCCTATACGGGGGAAAGCTGGGCTGAGCTGATGAACTTGAAGAACTAGAGCCAAGACAGTGTGGATCTCCTCTCTCAGAAACAGCTCTTCCTGTTGGATGTGACCAAGCCATCATAAGGGATGCGTCAGCAGGATCCCTTTTTCCTTGGAACTGTTCTGGAGCAATGCCCCTCCCTTCTTGTGGAGGGAACCTGCTGCAGCTGTTGTCATCCCTGTGGCCTTGGAGCTTACCCTCTAGGGCATCGAATGGCAGACAATCATACTGAGAATTCTCAGTCTTCCCTGGTGTTTTAGGTAAACTCTGCCTGTGAAATTCAGAGGAGTCAATGCTGTCCACCTCAACTGAAGTCAGAAACTTCGAGAAAGATCTACTGGGGGAATTGTGCTGTGGGGCAGATGGGGCAGGTGACTCTGGAAACAGTGATGAGTGTGACTCATGGCAGGGAGCAGGTGAGTGGAAGTAAGAAGAACTGGCCCCAAACTCTGTATCCACGCAGGGCTCCAGCTGGGTGTCCTGGCTTAATAGTACTTGGAGCGGGATAGGCTGTTCACTGAAAGAAAGGGAGAGAGCCAGTCAAAAGCTGCCTTGATTGACAAGAACACGTCCCAAAACAACTGTTCATTCCATCCCCGTCTCTACCCATCCAGAGGAGGAATGATGAAAATAACTGGAAAGATAATCACAAGTAGAGTTGATAGTTTAAAAGTAAAAGAAAAAAAGACACATGGTTCATTCATATCCAGATAAACAGGTAATACCAGTCTTTTATGAAATGCCCTCTCCAAAGGTGCAAACAATGATACTGTGTGGAGTCTCTGGAAATATTCTTCACTACCTGTGAAGTCTCTCACTGCAATCACATTCTACTTGCAAATTAAAAATAAAAACTGCTAGTCCCACATGCAAATGACATGGACGATAAGCAAAGCCTGAAAATCATTCATACCAAATAACAAAAATCCAGAATGCTATACAAGGAGGGAAGTCCTACCTAGGGCCTGTGAGGAAGCCCAGTGAAAGGAACCAGGAGGCTATAATTACAGAACACAACATGATGTTCATTCATAGGATTACACAGAAATCAACTACTTCAAATGTTGTCATAATCCAGGTTTCACTGTAATACTGAGATGTTTCCTTACATTAATACATTAGGATGCTCTTCAGACCTAAGAGTAGGAATAGGGGTCAATTGCATTTAGTTTGTTTCTCATTAATTGTTTTATATTTCTAATAAAAAAAAAAAAAAAAAACTACATTGTTAGAAGCAGTTAAAACTTCATCCTTTTGAATTTTGGATTTTCAAATTAGGGTTATCCAACCTGGGCATACCCAATCTGAAAATTAGGATTTCCCTTCTAAAATTTGTGAAATTTTGTTCACTAATTAAAAAAAAATACAATTTTAAAAATTCCAAATCTAAAACTTTTTGAATGCAGAAATGATGATGAAATAATTTTGGATTTTGGAGTTTTTCAGAGGTCAGATTTTTTTGGATTAATTATGCTCAATCAGAGTAAAGTCTAAACAGCAGGGTGTGGTCACCCATGCCTGTAATCCCAGCATGTGTGAGGCTGAGGCAGAAGGATCTCAGGAGGTTCAAGGCCAGACTAGGCTACCTACTGAGTTCAAGGCCAGCCTGAACTACATAACAAGACCCTGTCTCAAACAACAACAAAAGAGTAAAGTCTGCAAATATTCAAAAAAATCTGAAATCTGAAACACTTCTAGTCCCAAGTTATTTTAGATAAGAAATAGTCAACCTGTATGCTATAAACTTTGTGGGCTTGGGCTGGGGATTTAGCTCAGCGGCACAGTGCCTGCCTGGCAAGCTCAAGGTCGTGAGTTCAATTCCCAGTACTGGAAAAAAAAACAAAAAAAAAAAACAAAAAAAAACTTTGTGGGCTTTCTTATCTAGTAAACAAGATAACATTATGAAGAATATAATATAGTTATATGGGAAATTTAATCCTAAAAGGCTGTATTACATAATGACCAAAGACATGCCCTTTGGTATCAAGCAGACCTGGGCTTGAATTGTACACTTCTACCACTTTTTAGGTAAGAAATCTCAGGTTCCTTACTTATCTTCTCTGAGGCCAAGTTCTGTTGTTTATAAAATATGGTGAATATTAGTCCTTTTAAAAAATCTATATATAAAGTGCTTCACTCAGGCACAGTCCTAGTGCAAAAAATTTCAGCTGCAAGACATAGATACAGCCCAACAGTAGCCTGCTAGCCTAGCACATGCATGGCTCTGGATTCAATCTCTGTCACTGAAAAAAAAAAAAAAAGGTACCTGGTTTTATACTTACATTTTTTATATTTTGAAAACTACTCAACCTTAATAGCCAAAACTAATTTTTACTTATAGATTCATTTATTCTAAGTAAAAGCCATATTTTAAGGGCTAACATGTAGGAAAACTATACCAATGGCCTAATTTTTTCCAAGTCCTGACCTTAAAGAAGCAAAGAAAATCTTTTTGTCTCTTCTCTATGGCGCAATTAGAGCCAGGAAGACTGTCTTCAATATTTCCATGAGGAAAAGAAGGAAGCACTGAAATCCCAAAATAAAGCACATGGTTGCTACTGCAACACAAAATGTAGCCAATATTGCCACGTCTAAGAACATAATATGTACCATTATAATAATCACACTGTTATATAGGTACCGAGATAAATTCACCCAAGGAAATTTGGACAACTGAGCCATTTGTTATGCTATTATACTTTTTGGCATCTTTCCAGCAACTATTAAGGAAAAGACCACCAGTGCACTAAGCTTTTTCATTGTATGTCTGACATGAGAAAAGAAAACCTTTTCAGCATACTCCTGTCTTCCCTGTACTCACGAAGGCAATGAGAGCACTTGCTACCCATGGAGAACCCATGGTCACTTCCTCCCCTGGCGTCCATACACTAACAGGGTTCCCAAGCACTACCTTGTTGGCTGAGGGAGGGGCCCCCCTTGTGATGGGAGGCAGGCTGAGGGCTGCGACGGCTGCTGCGATGATTGCTGCTGCTGCATGCGATCCTGCAGGCTCCGTGCTTTTCGAATACTGATTTGCAACTTCTTATCGACTAGGGCTCTGCTGTGCGTGCTAGAGCTGGCACCATGCAGGGCAAGTCTTAGTTTAGCTAAAATGCAAAAGAAAATATAGCAGGAACAGAACACAAAATATAAAACAAAAATAAAAAGAACAAAATTGAACCAAAACAAGCAAAGATATGCAATCAAACTCAAAATATGCAGCAGGAATGCAAGCCATGGACCATGCATATGCTGTCCAGGGCACGGGGCTAGCTCTGGCTATAAGGAACATTCATGGAAGCCATGGAGGCCAAACAAGTTAATTTAAATTAAAAAATAAATAAAAATTAAAACAAACCAGGAAGATAAACTAGTGCTTAGAGGTTGCCACTCTTATCATCCTTCCCAACTGACCTGTTCAGCTCTGGTCTCCACACTCTGCTACCAACTCCCGCTTCCTGATGGCTAACAGCAGAAAATAAGATCCAAACCTGCATCTGTCCTTACACAGCACAGCTTCTTGTGGGTCACACTTAAGAGTCAGATACAAATTCTAGGCCTTAGTCCCTTGCTGTAATATTATGGTGCTGCATACCAGGAAGGCAGGGAAGAAACAAAAAGAATCGAATATTGTGGTGGAAAGTCACAGGCCTGGGAAGTCACAGCCAATTTATTCAGTTTTCCTACCATAAACTCCCACTCGCTAGTCAGTGACTAAAGAAAGAGTAAACTAAGCTCATATCTGAAGTCTGACTTTATCTTAGGATAAGAAGGCAGGCATGGCTGGAGAATTCATCTGTGGATTCCTGCTGAGGTTATTCCAGTAAATATCCACAAGGCCAAGTGACAAGGCCAGGCACATTCTGAAATCTAAAGGACAAAGATAGCGAAAGGGCCTCAGTTTGGGAACATGAGACTGTAGAGACATAAAACTTTTTATAGTCATCTGAGGGACAACACTAATATCTACTGTGAAGTTAGTAAAAACTGCCATAGCCATAGCGGTTAGAGTTACTTACAGATAGCTTCGTTACAGAGAGCCAAAGCTGCAGCACAGTCTCCCTTTTGTTCCAGATGCAGGGACTCTTCAAACACTGAATTTGCCTCTTGGAGGGACCTCTCAAAGCCGTCACTCCTCCCTGAAATGGCCAGCACTTTTCATTTTGATTACAATGAAAATGATTTTGTTGGGTCTCACTGAGTTGGGAAACAAACTTGTAATCCTCTTGCCTCAGCCTCCCATAGTGCAGGAATTACAGGTGTACAGCACCATGTCCAATTTAGATTTAAATTCTTATTGTCCCAAATCTTAGCACTCCCTTCCTTACTGTTCCAGATGCTGAACCAAATCATATGGAGAACTGACAATAAAACATAATGGAATTTCTTCTCTGCTTACAAGGCGGGGCGCGGGGGGCAAGGAAAAAGATGGCAAGATCCCTTTTTGAGAGATAACCTGTGACATCAAAGTGACATAGTTTGAGGTTGAAAAGGGAAGAGAAAGACTATACAGATATAGAGATAGCTAAGAAGTTTGAAATTTTAGCCAGCCATGGTGGTACATGCCTGTAATCCCAGCACTCAGGAGGCTGAGGCAGGAAGATGGTTGCAAGTTCTAGGTCAGCCTGGGCTACAAAGTGAAGTCAAGGCCTGCCTGAACTACATATTGAGACGCTGTCTCAAAAAAAAAAAAAGAAATTTGAAATTTAAAACTAATTTTGAAACAAATTCAATGCTTTGGAAAAAACATGACAATTGCTTTAAATTGAAAGACAGTAGAAATAGAGAAAAGCTGTCCTAAAATAGGACTACTTAGCCCAGGCAGCTCTCAAAGGTTGATAAAAAGAAAGAAATGGTCAAGAGAAAGCAGCCACTCAAACAGCACTGGCTCCTTTCACTACTTTAGCAGAATTCATTATGTTTGGGGATTCTGAATAATATGTTTCACAACCTTAAAAAGGTAAATACCTCAGCCTTCTTGAATTCGTATTTTGAAGACCGTTTTTGGTACAAAGTTCTAGGGAGGAAGGGGTGATCCATGCAAATCTCTTGAGACTGTGGAATAAATTATCATGACATCAAAAGTAAACTGGGGGGTGGGGTAGCTCAGTGGTAGAGCGCTGGCCCAATACTAGACCCTGGGTTTGATCACCAGCATTGCTTTAGAGGGTAGGAAGGTAAACTAGGTATTGTGTTCTTGGCTCTTATCTGGCAGATCCCTTCCCTGAAGCTACAGGTGAGATATTTCAGGGTATGTTCTCTTCCAAGCAAGTAGAAACCCTTTCACAGTCAGTATGCTTCCTTGTCCTTGTTGACTGTTTGTGAATGAAATCAGTTTTATTTCCACTTTCCCTAGATGTTCGTGAGAAACATTTTTCCTGAATCATATTCTATCTCTCATCTACAGGGTTTTAATAGGCATAGCCAAAATCAATGCCTATTTCCAATCAATAGGCTCATTACCTCCTACTTTAACTAGGCATCTTTAAAATGGCTGAATTAATAGCTTCATTCATGCCCTCTTCCTACCTTTTTTCTCCGTGCCCTATTGCCCACAACCTAATTCTCACAACAATTACCCTGATTTTGCAGTTCATCCAAGTCCATGAAGCGGCTGGGATGCGGGTTAAACCCTTTAGCAGCTTCTAATTCTTTCTCCCGTTTTCTTCGAAGTTCCTGTTCCTGGGCCCTCCTGGCTACCTCTTCCTGCAATTCATCCAGTTCACTTTTAGAAGTTACCTCCCCACCTGGATAAAGCAAAGGAGAAGATAAGTCACATTTCCATAACCAAGATGAGGCACCAGCTGTATTTATGGCCACTGTGCCATTTCTTACTGTGAAATTCTTGTCTTCCATTTGAAGTTCATGTTTCAGATAGTACTTTCCATATCAGATGCAGGGTGGGACCCAGGCCAGTAATAACAGTAATAACAAATATTTTTGAATATTTTGTAACAACAGTGAATATTCCATTACATTGTCCTGTAATGACAGGATACCTAACATTTGTTAAGCATTTTCAATGTACTAAGAACAGTATTAAGTACTTTTACATACTAATAACATAAGAATTAAGTGAAATAATCATATAATTCTCATACCTGACAAGGTAGATTCTATTACTCCTATTTTAGGAATGAAAAAAAATGAATCTCTCACACACACACACAAAAATGACACACGTGACATAGGGTGGATCTCACTTCAGTCAAGTAGATCAAATTAATAATCTATGCTCTATTGTGCTTTTCTGTTCATTTGGGTTTGGTTTTTACAGTACTGGAGATATAGCCTAAGACATTCCCAGTGAGCTACATTCCCAGTCCATCCACCTGCCCTCCCACCCTTTATCCCTCCATCTTTCCCTCCCTCCCTTCCTTCTTTCCTTCATTTCTTTTTTTTCCTTTTCTTTTTTGAAATTTTGAGGCATGGTCTTGCTAAGTCAGTAAGTTGCCCAGGCACTAATTCACAAAAAATTCATCTCTTAAGAGGCTCTTCTTTGGAAAGCATTTTTTTGGGGGGGTACCGGGAATCGAACTCAGGACCCTGCGCTTGCCAGGCAGGCGCTTATGCCGCTGAGCTGTTTCCCCAGGCCTTAAGAGGCTCTTCTTATACCAAGGAAAGCCCTAGGACAGTGATGGTGAACCTTTTAAAGTTTTCAATGATACAAACAGCCCGCTGCTGCATGTATGCCATAGGTTTGCCACCACTACCCTAGGAGTTACTTTTCTGGGGAATGGAGCTTTTCTGGGGAATACTATGACTATGTATATTTCTGTCCCTTTATTGTTCTTGCAAGAACTCTCTCCAAGATAGAAATATTTAGGCAAGCTGTGATGGAGAACAAAAAATAGATAAATGCAAAGATGGAGCTGGACATGGTGATGCACGCATGTAATCCCAGCACTGGGGAGGCTGAGGCAGGAGGATCACTGCAAGTTCAAGACCAGTCTAGGCTACAAAGTAAGTTCAAGGCCAGCCTGAACTGCATCTCAAAAAGACAATTAAAAAAAAAAAAAAAAAAGCAAAGATGGAGCAGCTGAAATGTCTCCGAGTTTACACTTTGATGGAATACACAAACTATAACTATACTCTAATTGCATATGTGCTCAGGTAAAGCTGTTCTCTAAAACAGAATTTTGTGGTCAAACCTAGTTCCCCACAACCCAGTGTCCTCGTGCTTACCCAAGAGGGGTTGAGTCTTTGTCCAGCTACTCATGGATGCTGTGGAGTCCACTTCCAGGATGCTACTGCTGTGAGACTTTGGAATATGACGCCAAGAAGGGACAAATCCTGTTGATCTCTTAGCACTTGGATCCCTTCAAAAGAGAAGCCAAAGTCTAGTAAAAGCATCAGAAGAGCGGTTACTAACAACATTCCTGAGAATAAATTCCCTCAACAAAACACCAAGCTAATATAATTAAAGTTTCTAGGAGGCCAGTGTGCTGATAATGTGTCTGCAGTCCCATCTACTTGGTTTGTTTTTGTCTTTTTGAGACAGGGTCTCGCTATGCAGTTCAGGCTGGCCTTGAGCTCACTTTGTAGCCCAGGCTGGTCTCGAACTTGCAACAATCCTCCTGCCTCAGCCTCCCGAGTACTGGGATTACAGGTGTGCGCAACCACACCCAGATTAGTCCCATCTACCTGGGAGGCTGAGGCAGAAGGCTCTCTTAAATTCAAGAGTTTGAGACTGGTGTAGGCAGCATTGTAAGACCCATCTTTTAAAAAAAAAAAAAGCTGCTCAACTACATCGGAAAAGTTGAAATATCCACTTATCCACTCATTTCTTGATCTTACCTTGTTCACATCTTGTGCATTGGACACAATATCTGACATACAGTGGACATTCAAAACCTATTAAATGAATGAACATATTGCTCTCATATGCACTGTCTTCCTCTTTCTTTAAAGTCAGTCTCTCTCCCTCTCTCCCTCTCTCTCTCTCAGAACACATGGCCTGGCGCATGCTAAGTAAGCACTCTATAACCGATCTATATCCCTAGCCCATCTTACTAAATTTTTACACTCTTCACTGAGTAAAACTGAAAAGGCCCAGGCAGCTAGAGAAGAAAAGTAAAAACAAAAATGTGGTATCACCCTTGCAGAAGATACGATCATTGCTTCCAAAGCAACTATAAACTATCTGGAAAATTGCCTCCAGGACAACTCAGTAAAAGTAATGTTTACAGATCTGAAATTTACAGAATAAACTGAGCCCTACAGGAAAATACAATGAGCTGTATTAAATTGGTATCATTATCTTATGGAATTATGAATATCACTGGCTTCATAAAACACAGAATCCTCAATAACCCTAAAAAAAGAGGAAAAAACTCAGTGCAAAGCCCCTAGGTTCAATTAAAAAAAAAACAAAGCAAGAATAAATAACAGCTGTGTTTCTTCTCTTATTTTAGGATTATAATGGCCTGATTCACAAATTCATTCTTTTATTAAAAATTATTTATGAGGCTGCGCGTGGTGGTGCATGCCTGTAATCCCAACACTTGGTGGCTAAGACAGGAGAATCACAGCGAATTTGAGGCCAGCCTGGGCTACATAGTGAGTTTAAAGCTGGCCTAAACTACATAGTGAGGCCCTGTCTCAAAAAAAAAAAAAAAAATCTCATTTATATATTTCCATATATAATTTTAATACTTATATTCTTCATGTTATATGTATTAGATTGAGACTTGTTCATTCTCCATGTCTGAAAAATATGGAACATTTCATGAATTCGCTTGTCATCTTTGTACAAGGGGGACATTCATCACTGTATTGTTCCAATTTTAATACACATGCTGCTGAAGTGAGAACTAAGTAATTGCTGAAAGTGCTCTCCTTCTTAAGGTGTCTTTGCTCCTCTTCCCAGCAGAGGGTGCTGCTGCTACAGAAAGCTGGTTGCTTTACTAGTTTACACAGATGGATGCTACTAAAGCCCAACTCTTCACTTGTCTCAGTCATGATTGAAAGCTCCACGTAGGTAGCTCACATTACACCTCCTGACACTGCCTTTACTCAAAGGCCAAACAATACCTGCAGGTATTTGAGCTCTCAGAAAGGGCTACATCCAGGCTGACAGGACTGCTGCTGTTCCTCTCACTGCTCTCATAGCCAGATTCCATTCGCTGGATTAGGCGAGGGTGCTGTTCTAAAAGTTGAGGGCCTGGCCGTGCTGGACCCCAGGGCTTGTATTTGGGGCTTGGTCCACCAGCTTTAAAGTCATAAGTAGGTGGCTTGCTTAGTTCATCTGATGTAAATTCTTTAGCTGTTCCAATCAAAGGACAAATATGAAAAATGAGGTAATTTATTATTTATCTAAACCAAAATGTAACTAACCCCTCCCTTCAGCCACTTACTGAGCTCATGTTCCCAAAAAGCCTGACATCAGAGTAAAGATGCTCTTTGCCAGGTCTACCAAAAAACTCAGGCTTTTCAAATGTATCAACCAACTCCATTGGAAAGCCCAACTCTTCCCTAATTATCTCCTCACCTGAATCCTCCGAAAAGGGGCTAAGCTGGGTATAGCCACAGTGCTTCCTTTTGTCCCTACTAAAAATACTATCAATATTCAGAGATTCTCGTTTGGGTCTCCAGGTTGGACGATACTTGCTGGAAGAACTGGACTTTGACTCGCTGCTGGTACTCTCTATTTCCCAGTCACGAGAGTTGAAAGGCAGGCTCTTAGGAGGCTTTTTGTCAGGCTGGTCTCCTCCCTTCCCCCCACAGGAAGATCCTACATTTGTCTGAGAAGCCAAGGATGGTCTGTTATGGATCATATTGCTGACTGTCTCTTTAAAATCCTTTAGCCTGTTGGTGCTGCTGGATGGTTTGGACGTATTCCTAGGAGCCTGCTTCTCTTTCAGTGTTTCTCCTAAAAACACAAAGAATGAAACAAATATAAATGTTTAAAGTGATCACGTATCCAGACCCCAAAGTCTAGAAAGCAAGGAAAAGCCCTTTGAGCAGAAAGGTTAAGCTAACAGTCCAGCACATGACAAATTTGACAGAGAAAATGAAAGAAGAAGAACGCAGAATGGCTTGCCTTCACTGTGGTATCCAGAGGCCTGCGGCTCATCACCTTTCCTCTTAACTCGGCCAGAACTCCTCTTGCGCTCTATTAAGGCTCCTTTTTTGGATGTGTGTTTCTGATTACATTCACTATCAGTCAGGTGTCCTGAAAGAACAAAGAAATGGGAGGAAGCTGATATTTGGACTGACCTCCATCATCCTGAGAAGCTAGTCTCTCCTTGGGGTTAATGGCTGTGCCATTCACTTAGAGTACTCATGAATCAGAAGTTGTAGGGACTAAGTGGCCACTTATCTGATTTAAGTGTAGGAATCTCTCAGAACTAAGGACATATTACATGGTACTTTTTGGTTTGTTTTTGTGGTTCTAAGGACCAAACTCAGGGACTCACTCACGCTAAGCAGATGATTTATCACTAAGCTAGATGCCCAGCCCTTGGGAATTTTTAAAAAGACATTTTAAAAATTATATATTTTCACTCTCATAAATTGAAGAGAGGTTTTATTTATTTATTTATTTGGCAACACATACCAAGTAAAGTCTGACTTTTAGTATATTTGGTATAGTTCTGGGTATCCCAGACTTTGCCCAAAAGAACTCTGATTATATTTGGCTTTAAGACCCAGTTCTAAACTTTCCTTGAAAGTTTTAAAAGGCTATTTCAACTTTGATAATTCTCATTCTCACCTCCAAAGTACTCTTCATCAAACCTGACATGACCTAGACATTACCTGTCATAGTTCCAAAACACTAACCACTGGGGAGCCCAGGCTGCTGGACTATTCATGTAACTTGACATGCTTCATGCCCTCAGTGTGCAAATATAGCAGGACAGTTACACTGAACAACAAATGTCGGGTTCTAAAGCATATAATCAGCTAAGTTGGTGGAAGTCAGAAAGTAAGTTAAGTTTGTAGTAGATTAGTGAAAATGAAAACCCCCTAGGTTCTTAAATGTATTCACATCCAACAGAAATTTATTTTCATATACTAGTAAATAAAAATCCTTGTTCATATTCAGGTATCAATGATATAGAAAAAAAATTTTTTTGAGACAAGGTCTCGCTACGCAGTTCAGGCTGGCCTCGAAGTCGCAGTGATCCTCCTGCCTCAGCCTCCCAAGTGCTGGGATTATAAGCGTGCGCCACCATGCCTGGTTTAGAAATGTGTTTTCAACCAACTGTTCCATGCAACCTTTTATTGCTCTTATATATTATTTTTCTACCTCTAGGCCTACAGGAAAGATTTAAGAAAGGAGAAAAATCACTCAGAGGAACTAACTTTACCAATGTTAAACCAATGACAGAGAATCCCCACATACATCACCCCCTTACATAAACCTGACTCTCCTAGAAAACAGACTTAGCTTATTGTTGATTTGGCTCCTCCCTAGTTTAGTTACAGAAATATGCTTTTAAAAACTTACATCTAATACCATCTGCACAATAATTATCAAAAGAAATCCAACATGAATCTGACTGAACTTCTAGTTTCAACTACAATTTACAAAACATAAAGAACAGAGGAAGATATTAAATTATATCATAGAATGTAATCAGCAAAATTCAGAATGTAGGAGATACACAGGACAACTACTTAGTTCTGCAACAGTAAATAACAAGAAAGAAAATAGAGGAAAAACCTATACATTAAAAGTAATCTACAAGACTTATCAACCTGTCACAATGTGTAGACTTCATTCGGATTTGGGGTGAAACACACAAATCATCACAAAATTATGACATTTGTAAGATGATACGTGAACAATTCTTGGTTATTTAGTAATTTAGGAATCATCATTCTTTTGTTTTTTTGGTGGTGGTGCTTGAGATCAAACCCAGGGCCTCAAGCATGCTAGGCCAGTACTGTACCGCTGAACTACAACAGCAGCTTATTTTTAAGTGTGGTAGTGGTATATTTAAGAAATGATTTCTTATGCTTTAACAACACATACTAAAATATTTATGAAAGAAGTGCTATCTGAGGTTTACTCCAAAATAATTTAAAAATGAGGCAAGTGGATAGAGGTACAGGTAAAACTAGATTGGTCATAAGTTATAATTACTGAAACTAGGTGACAGGTACATCAAAGGGCAGTATACCACTCTGTCCACTTACAAATGTTTGAAATTCTTGATTTAAATAAAGACCATCTACATACAATAAACCTCCAATCTGAAGCCTCATGAGCTTACTAATTCCCAACATTCTTAAGAATACGGACACCACTCCAAGCGTTCAGTGTTCTGTCCCCCACAATGAACGTTTCATTCACTCTTCTTCCCTGTACTGTATGCTCTTCATTGGTTTCTCCCACTAACACAAGCACATCCTCCTACAGATTAATAAAACAATTCAAGAGTGCTGTCTGTATAGAATGTACAATAATAAGCCCGCTATCTCCCTTTCTTTCGCTTATCTGTCCTCCAGTAGCTTAGCAAGCTAATGAGCAGGTGTCCCTGCCCATAAATAAACTTTCTCACAAAGCCCTTCACCCAGGACAAAACCAACATGAGAACATCACATGGTGTAAGACGACAGGGATTAATGGGGCATGGGGGGAAGGACAGGGGTCAAAAGTATAACAGGGGAAGAGAAGACTTCTGAATAATTACATCAATAATCATATTATAATGGTGCTTGTTGGTGTGCTACTGCTGACAAGAGTATGTGCTATGGCACATCATTGCTCATTTAGAACTCTGCTGTCTCTTTGTGGCCCACTCGATTACCCAAGTTCTGTGCCTTTCCACCTTGCATGCAAACATGTCTGACTTGCCCCAATTTCTTTTTCTTGGTAGTCCTTCCATGCAGGTATTGAATCAGGCAGCAGAGTCCTCTGTTTAAGTCCCTACCTGTGTCCCAACTGCTCTGAGACATGGAATCATTCTCCATATTATGGATGACTGTTCCCTGAGAATCAGAAGAGAAGTGACTGACCACAGACTCATGGTGGGGATGTTTGTAAGGATAGCTCTCCGTTGAAGAATCTGTCCGAGTGTCACTTGAAATTGAGGGCTCCCTCCCTAAGGGAAGGAGGAGACATATATACAAAAATGAGGAAAGAAAGAAGAATAGTGACAGATGTAGGAAAAAAGATAGATGCAACATAGCTCCATAAGGCAAGAACTTCCTAGAAGGAAGGGTGAGAAGGATATCCACAGAGCCATTCTTCCCAACACCCAACTTCCAGGTAATCCAGACACACAAACAATTCCTCCCTCCCCTGCCCCTACCTTGCTGAAGCCCTCACTTTTGCCTGCCACTGTGAAAAACTGTGGGAGTTTAGAAAACCTATGAGGGGAAAGTGGAAGAAATGAAAAGTTGTGAGAAATAAGTTCTATTTCAATGGAAAATCCCAGGCCAACCTGTGGTACATAACCACTTGTTCATCTATCCTATAATCTTTCTTCTATACTGGCATAAATGTCAGTATAAAAAATTTAATTGGTATTATATGCATTTCTTAATATTGCTGAGAAATTATAGAGCTATTTTTTTTTTTTTTTTTTTTTTAGACCATTCTCTTTTTTTTTTTTTTTTTTTTTTTTTTTTTTTAAGGCTTTTACATTTTTCCCTTGAGGTGATTAATTAATTAATTAATTTTTTCCAGTACCGGGAATCGAACTAACGACCTCCCGCTTGCCATTCAGGCGCCGTGCCGCTGAGTTAAATCCCCAGCCCCCTATTTTTTATTCTTTAGTGTGCATTAGCTCACCCAGAAGGCTTGCTTCTCAGTGCTTAGCTAAATACAATAGAACATATGGGTGTTGGGCCAAAGGGAGAAGTAGAACAGGTCTAGGTGGGGTACGGAAGTAAGAAAAAGCACTAGGTTCTAAGCAGGAAGGAGATAAAAAGGAGAGGAAGAAAGATTTCAAAGCCAAGAATTTTATCTTTCAAAAATATACTAAGGGCCAGCTGTAGATCCAAAATAATAAAAGAACTTGTTTTTCTTCCTCCTTATCAGAAATCAAGCCAAAACTACTAGGATTGCACACCACATAGAGCCTCTGCAGGCTAGCCTGAGACTTTAGCCATCAAGCTAAAAACTGTTCCTATAGGAAAACAATATTTAAATTTCAAACAGAAGTAAACAACTGAGTCATAAACTGAGGAATATTACTATTCCATTTGGAATTTTAAAACAAAGCCTTCTCATTCCCCTGACAATGAATAGCTTTGTAGTGACTCCAACTATCTTAACGATTAATTTAAATCACTTGAATTACGAATAAGAATCAATCATCTTATCCAGTATTAGAAAGCTGACTACTGACCTCTCCCTCACAAACTTGGTTACCTCATTGTAAATAAACATAATAATCTTCTCACTTCGAGTTCAGGCCAACTGATTTAGGCAACACACTCTTGAAGGCTGAAGGAAACAGAGCCTCACGTAAGTTAGGCTTCAGTACAAGTTGACACTTCTTTCTTACGTCTGATGGACCCTCTCTTCAAACTAGGCTAGGTGCTAAGAATGTAAGTATGAGTGCCACCTGCCTGATCACATGGAGTGAGGTGGGGGGGGAGGTGGAGACCTAGGCAGCTCACCTGAATCTTCACTGTCATAGCATGTCCTGCTGTACGGCTGGAACTGAGCTTGGGGAGGCAGGTCCTGGGTAGACACTGGGGTACCCTGGGGATCTGCATAAAGCAGCAGCAAGGGCTGGTAATGCCCTTTGATGCATTTGGTCACGACATCCTTCCATTTGGGCCCAATCTGAACCAAGACAACCAGAAGAACATGATAATTATACTTCACATTCACAATTCAAGCACATTTTTCCCTTCTGCTTATCTTACAGAGAAGAATTGGGCAATGAGACTAGCGATTTTAGACATAAACAATAAATTTTTTATTTTGTCTGTTTTTTGCTAAAACCTTTTAGAAACTATAGTCTATAAGAAAAAAATGAGTAAAAATACTTTTATTGCTGTGAAATATCAACTCAGTTTTAAAATATAAATAAATAAAAATCTGAGTGTGATAGTGCATACCTACGATCTCAGAACTCAGGGAGGCTGAGGCAGGATGATTACAAACTCAAGCCCAGCCTGAGCAACTTGGTGAGACCATACCTCAAAAAATTTAAGAAAGGACTGCAGCTCAGAGTAAAAGCCCTGAGAGAGCAATCTGCAGTACTACCAAAACAAACAAACAAAAAACAAACCAAACTAAATAAACATACATGTATACACACACACACACACACACACATATTCACTATAAAAGCTCTCAAAAATGGACATACCATGTGAAGGGATTAGATTAAACCCCTCACTTGGAATTTGCATTTCTGCAATTTTCTCCTAAATACTAAAATTACTCTTATGAAGCCAAAGAATAGACAGGAATTCCCTCAGAGTTCACCTTAAATAAATGACATTCAGTTTTAGAGTTCACACATGGCAGGACACAAATGTCAAACTGCCTAGAATAGACTGCTCAACCCCTCAGCCTTAGCCCTGGGATGGACACAGCTCTGCTGTCACTGTGAGCAAGAGGAGCAGAACGACAACAATCCAACCAAATCTCACGTTCATGCCACATTCTTAAGCTTGAACAGGGCTTGAACTGGGCACCTTCTCAGGGGTGAGCTGTGCAGTTGGACAACTAGCACAATGTTTTGTTCATAAGTCATTTTGTAAATCTGTAACTGCATTACTATTTTCTTTTTTTTGTCTTTTGGAGACAGGGTCTTACTATGCCAGCCAGAACTGCATAGTAACCCAGGTGAGCCTTGAACTCATGAGGATCCTTCTGCCTCAGTCTCCTGAGTGCTGGGATTACAGGTATGCGCCACCACGCCCAGAACTATTATTTTAATTAGAACACATTTATATACCTTTCCCATACAACTTTTATTTAATACCTTGTAAGAATATTTTTCCAAAAAAAAACCCCTAATGCTCAAAGAATTTATATAAGTTGACCTAAATTATAATGGTAGCAAAAATAAAAAGAAACAAAGAAAAGAAGAATAAGGAAATTTGAGAGACTTTACTGTTTGTGAAAGACACTGATTCAAGGCCGTGAAGTGTTACAGTCAGCAGTCCTCCTGGCCACTAACTTTTATCAAAGGGGCTTCCTAACATTCATACAAATGACCTAAACCACTTCAGTCACAGAATCTGTGGTTTAGACAGTACCAGCTTTCCTGCTTCAGTTATCATTATGGCCTTATTTTTCTATGTTGGCCACCCCCAACGTTAATCTGCGATAGCACACTTTTTTTTTGTTTGTTTGTTTTTGTTTTTGTTTTTGTTTTTTTGAGACAGGGTCTCCATATGCAGTTCAGATTGGACTTGAGCTTACTTTGTAGCCCAGGTTGGTCATGGACTTACAACAATCCTCGTGCCTCAGCCTCCTGAGTGCTGGGATTATAGGTGTGTGTCACCATGCCTGACAATAAAACACTTTTAGGAGGATAAGAATTGAAGAATAATTTATAGCAGCCCTGAGACAAAGTATTGATAATTACAAGAAAAGTGCTGGGGATTTAGCTCAGCGGCACAGCGCCTGCCTTGCAAGTGCGAGGTCCAGAGTTCAACTCCTGGTACTGGAAAAAAAACCAAAAAACCAAAAAACCAAAAAAAAAAAAAAAAAAGATAATTACAAGAAAAACAAAAAAAGATTTGGGATTTTGAACTTTGTATTAACTTTATAACCTAATTTGAGGCATTAACTGTTCCTACACAAATAATTAACACATTTTAAAAGTACTTTTTTAGGGGCTGGGAATTTAGCTCAGCAGCACAGCGCCTGCCTGGCAAGCACGAGGTCGTGAGTTGGATTCCCAGCACCAGAAAAAAATAAAAAGTACTTTTTTAAGTTGGTGTGGTGCCACATGCCTGTAACTCTAGCACTCTGGGAGGCTGAGGCAGAGAAGAGGCTGAGGCAGAAAAATCACAAGTCTGAGCCCAGCCTAGGCATATTAGGTGGGACTTTGTCTCAAAACTATTTTTAAAAGGGCTATAATATAGCTCAGTGCAAAAGTTCAATCTCAGTACTGGGGGAAGGGAGGTATTTCATCAACTGTAAATACAGAACTATGCTAAGTATCTGGGGAAGGGATTCGGAGAGAAAAACATAAGATATATTGAGCTTATCCTCAAAGAATTAAATAAGAAAATGAGAGTAATATCCTTATAAATTTGAGAGAGAAACAGAAAAATGCAAAGTACATCTTACATCAGTAAGGGGCATCATTCAAAATTATAAAAATGAAATACAAAAGACAAATAATTATGTTGCAGTATTAATCACTTTAAGAAGACCTTGAATATCCATCCCTACCTCCTTAACATGTGCATCATCAAAATACATCCATTTGCGGACCTTTGTTTGAAAAAAGAATGTAGAATAATGTTTGCCATAGTAACAGATCATTCCTACTAAATACAGTTCAGACTGTTTGGCCCGGTCATCTGTCACTCTAAAAAACAGCTGTAGGAGAAAAAAAAGAAAGGAAAGAACCATCACATATTTAATCATCTCATATCTCTCAGCAGATTCCAACATTTCTTTCTTTCTTTCTTTCTTTGTGGTACCAGGAATTGAACTCAGGACCTTGTACTTGCCAGGCAGGCGCTTGTGCCACTGAGCTATATCCCTGGCCCAGTATTTTCTGATTAAGGTACTGACTTGCTTCTCCTCCCTTCAGTTTTTTTTTTTTTTTTTTTTTTGCTAGTCCAGATTAATCATCAGAAATGAAACTATGAGCCAGGCATGGTAGCACACACCTATAATCCCAGCACTCAGGAGGCTGAGGCAAGAGGATCACTGTAGCCCGGGATATATAATGAGTTGAAAGCTAGCCTGAACTATATAGTGAGACCCTGTCTAAAAACAAACAAACAAAACTCAAAGCAGAAAGAAAGAAAGGGCGGGGGGAG